ATCAGAAATGGATAAACGGATGCTAGTTAAGATAAGACAAAAGATGCCTATTACTATAAATATAAAAGAAAAGCACAACAGAGTAGCTCTCTCTCCCAGGAAAAGCGAACCCCATTCGATCATACAATGCAAATGTGAGATTGTGTTTTAAAAAGTTATGGATGAAGACCTACAGAAACGGGGGAAGGACTGGCAGTGTGCATTAGCAGCAGTAGCAGGAGCAATAGCTGTTAAGGAGGATGGCCTTGTACATTACAAATTGGATTTAAATAAACAGAAGGGGACATGCAAGTGGAAACACAATTTCCTGCAGAAGATATTGGGCAGTGGAATAACAAAATAAATAAATAAATAAATAAATGAAACTAAGATGATCAAGAAAACAAAACGCTAAGCATATGAATTAAAACCGAGAACTTAATTGCAGTTTGATATTTTTATCAATCCCCGAGTGTGGACAGGTTGATGACTAAACAAACAGAGCCAAGCCTGCGAATGCATTTTATCATGTACGATCCTTGTGCTTAAAACTGGGTTCTCCTCCCATGAAAGCTGACATTTTAGAACAATGACGAACCCAGTCTTACTTCCATAAGCCAGTCTTACACGGAGATTTTTCAGCTCATATAATTTGAAAACAAACAAAAACAAAAACAAAAAACAAAGACCGTGACCTCTTTCAAGCGTCACATCCTATGCACCATGGCTAAAGGTACACAGATGAATTCGATGCCGTATGTACCGGCGTGTGATGATTTTGCAAGCTCAGCATCGCTTTCCTGGTTTCTCTGGTGACAGATTCCTCGCTCCATGTAGTTGAGGTGGTGCTCTTGCCTGGGGAGAAAAATAGTTCTGTGCTTCTGGCCTTTGCTGACCATTCCTATGGGAATGGCCACAGGAACGAACCTTTGACTCAGGAAGGACCAATCAAAAGCTTCCTCTGGGAGTCGATCAAGTGCTTAAGGCTTATTTTAGTCTTGTAATTTTTTTTAAAAAACAAAAGTATCGCAAAATGTACTGATCATCCTCTAAGTCCTGCAAACTGTGTACGGTGACTAAAAGGACAGCAATTCATCTGCCCCCGTTTCTGCTCTGCCCACGCTAGATTTCGGACACTGTGAAATACAGGCAGCGGAGAATGGCAAAGCCCATTCTGATTCATTCAACACATGAATGCTTCTTAGGCACAAGACACCGCTTGAAACATGGCCCCGGCTGAAAAGATAAATAATACCTAGCTCTTACCCTCAAGGATCTTACAACTTGGCAAGGGAAAATAAGACAGGCACACAGACGACTGCAATAAAAAGAAGATAATGATTGCAGCCAGATGCTCAGGGAGAACAGAGCGGAGCAAAGAGAGGACCCAGAATAGGGCAGCATTCAACAGCCGGGCAGGAATATTTATTGAGCAATCACCGGGTGAGAAATGAAAATGGAAGCATAGAGATGGAACCGAGATGCACACAGGTGAAAAATCAAGTGACATTAATTGTTACCCAACTCTGCAATTTTTTTTCTGTCATCAAGTTCCTAATACATAGGCTGAAATTAAAAACTAAATAAGGATATAATAGTCTCTGTCAAAGACAGCCCAAGGCACTGATGCTCAAGCAGGAGGTCGCAAGTACAGGTGTTCCCGAGGGTGCCTTTCTCTTGCTTTATTTATTTTCTTCTCCCCCTTGCAAATGAGCTGAGGCTACCTTAATAGGATATCTGTTTAATCTCTCCCACCCTTTTGGATCTGGTGTATTAAAAGAAGATCCTTTTGGCTTCAAACAACAGAAAGAAAATAACTATGTAAGTGAAAAAGTCCAGGGGCAATCCTTCAAACATGCCTGGGTCCGGGAGCCCAAATGTTTTCATCAAACCGCTTTCTCTCCTCCTCTCTCTTTCTCTCTTGCTTTGGGGTTCGAATCTCTCTCTGTGCATGTGGAAGTCTCTAGAGCAGCTTCAGACTCACACCCTCATGGCATCAGGGCTTACAGGAAGGAGCAGGGGTCATAGTGGCATAAGTTGTGCGCTTATGTAGTGGGGCATTGAGTCTAAAGGTGATTGACACATACATTGTACAGAGGGTGGTAGATTTGTGTATTCACCATAGCACTGTTTTCTGGAAGACGGCAGGGTCGTGTCTCGTTCTTTTATTTATTTATTTTTATACTTACTGTCTTCACTTATTATTATTATTTTTATTTCAGCATATTATGGGGGTACAAATTTTAAGGTTTCAATAAATGCCCTTTCTCCCTCCCCCTACAAGTCTGAGTTTCCAGTGTGACCATCCCCCAGATGGTGCACATCTCACTCATTATATATGTATATACCCACCCCTCCCCCCTCCCACCTGCCCAATACCCTATTACTGTAGTTCCTATGTGTCCACTTAGGTGCTGCTCAGTTAATACCAATTTGCTGGTGAGTACATGTGGTGCTTGTTTTTCCATTCTTGGGATACTTCACTTAGCAGTATGGGTTCCAGCTCTAACCAGGAAAATATAAGATGTGCTATATCACCGTTGTTTCTTAGAGCTGAATAGTACTCCATGGTATACATATACCACATTTTATTAATACACTCTTGGATTGATGGGCACTGGGCTGTTTCCACAGCCTTGCAATTATGAATTGTGCTGCTATAAACATTCGAGTGCAGGTGTCTTTTTTGTAGAGTGTCATTGGATCTTTTGGGTAGATGCCCAGCAATGGGATTGCTGGATCAAATGGTAGATCAACTTGTATCGCTTTAAATTATCTCCATATTGCTTTCCACAGAGGTTGAACTAGTTTGCAGTCCCACCAGCAGTGTAGGAGTGTCCCTCTCTCTCCGCATCCGCGCCAGCATTTGTTGTTTGGAGACATTTTGATAAAGGCCATTCTCACTGGTTCTTACAAGATCAGAATAGCGTAACGGTTTTCCAAAAGAGGCACATAAGGTATTTTGAGGACGGGACCCGTTTTTATCAGACTCACAGAGACGTTGTCTATGTGACAGTCATAACCTTTTGCCCCCACCCTGGCTGCCCCAGCAAAAGTCCAGGGATTAGCCCCGCACGGCTCTGGCTGGGCTCTCTGCCCATCCTTGAACTCAGCACTGCGGCGTTAAGATTCTGACGCTCTGATTAGCTTGGCCTGGATTATAGGCAGTGGGTGGGATGTGTTATCCTCAGACCATGAGCATTGGAATATGAGGGAGGGGCACAGCCAAATAGAAATGGAGGGACTGTCCCCCGAAGGAAGGGGAATAGATGCTGAACAAACAAACAAAAATGTCGTCTACACCAGGAAACACTTAGACCATTCTTGGGCTATCTAAAAACTGGTCTCCTACGCATAAAGCAACAGAAAATATTGGCCTAAAAAGAGCACCGTGGCCAAAGGAACATGACCTATTTTAACAGACGATCTGAAAGTTGAAGGGTAACTTGGATAGCATCCAATTCAATCTCACCCTTTTCCCATGGGGAAACTAAAACCCAAACAGAGGACAACAGCACACAAGTATTAGTGGCTCTTCTGACATTTTTTTTTGTGTGTGTGTGTGTGCAAAATAAAATAGTTCTCTTCCTTACATCATCATCAAAAAATATATATATTCTGGTTTTCTCTCCACTCTCTAGTCTGTATAATATGGGTTTGCTTCAAAGCCTCAGCAAGAGTTGAGTCAACCTTTTTGAGTCCACTCCTGGGAGCCCCAAAGACAGAGACATCAAGTTGCCTTAACATAGAAACCAGAGCCACTTGTTGCTTTAATGGGTCAAGTTTGGGCTGGGCCTGCAAGGAGTGGTGGGGAGTGGGGGGCGGACACCTTTCCTAAGGAACTTCTTAATTGCTTTGTCACCTGTTCTGGCGTCCTGACTTGGCCCCACGTCTCCAGCCAGAGAATCTTGAGAAAGGCATTCCCAATCTTTGGGGGAGACTTCTGCCAGTCCCGCTCCCTCCCCCCTTTTCTTTCCCCCCTTTGCTGCTGTTTTCCTACCGGCAAAAACCTGTCACCAGGACAGAAGCATCTCTGGAAATAGGTGGGAGGGGAGCCTTACACCTGTCAGCGCTGGGGAAGAAAGTGCGCTCAGCGGAGTTCTCAGTCGTTCCCTCTCTGGCGAAGAAGGAAAGAGGAGGGATGAGTCTCAGAGGTTGCTGCCGCCTCGGTGTGGGCAGGTCACCAGGCTCTGTTGGGTGCTCCTAACCCCTTGATAGACCCACAAGGATGCTCTCCCATCCCTAATAACGTTTGCTCTCGGCTTTTGCTTTTCTCAACGCCCGGCCCGGAGGCGTCTCCGGGTTAGATTCGTGTGAGTCGCGAAGGAGGCTCCTGCGTGCCAGTATGGTTTTCTTGGCAGGAGCTGGCCGAGTCGGTCTCCCTGCGCCCCTCCTTGCCTGGTTTCTGCGCCTCCAGACTCCCCGGGGTCCTCCCAGAGCCAAGAGCCCGGGATCCGGAGCCCCCAGGGTAGGGGGCCGAGCGCATCCCTGCCCAGCCCGGCCGAGGACACCCGAGCCCGGAGCGAGGCCGCGGGGCGCGGGCGGGCGAGAGGCTTCCACCGCGAGCTGGGTGCACGAGCCCGGCCGACCCTGCAATCCCCCGGGGACCCCGAAACTCCCCCGGCGAGGAAACCTGCCCCCTCCTTCCCGAGCCGCCCACCCTCTCCCCCCTCCGTTGCCTCCGCACGCAGCCCCTCCCTGCGTGATGATGCAAACCGGTGGGGCGGCGGGCGGGCGCCGGGCAGGGTGGGGAGAGCAGGAGAGTAAGCGAGGGAGGGAGGCAGTGGGAGGAGGAGGAGGAGAGCCAGCCGAACGACCATTTAAAGCGACAGCAGTCCCTGCCCTCTCCCCAGTGCCGGGCTGGAGGAGAGCGCGGCGCGCCTGGCGGCCGGCGAACCCGAGCGCGCGGGGCGCCCCAGGCAGGCGGGCAGGCAGGCAGGCGCCGCGGGACCCTGCGCCCCGCCCGGCCGCCCCCGGCGTCCCGCGCCGGCCGGCGGTAGCCACTGGGCTTCCCCGGCGCAGCTCGCCCCGAGGGGCCCGGACCTCGGCGAGCCCGCCACGGTCCCCTCCGGCGCCACCGCCACCGCCGCCGCCGGAGCAGCATGGCCCAGCTGGGGAAGCCGCTGCGCGCCCTGACTTCGCTGAAGTCCCCCTGCTGCGTGCTCGAGGTGCTCCTGTGCGCGCTGGCGGCGGCGGCGCGCGGCCAGGAGATGTACGCCCCGCACTCCATCCGGATCGAGGGGGACGTCACCCTCGGGGGGCTGTTCCCGGTGCACGCCAAGGGCCCCAGCGGAGTGCCCTGCGGCGACATCAAGAGGGAGAGCGGGATCCACAGGCTGGAGGCGATGCTCTACGCCCTGGACCAGATCAACAGCGACCCCAACCTACTGCCCAACGTGACGCTGGGCGCGCGGATCCTGGACACTTGTTCCAGGGACACTCACGCGCTCGAGCAGTCGCTCGCTTTCGTGCAGGCGCTCATCCAGAAGGACACGTCCGACGTGCGCTGCACCAACGGCGAGCCCCCCGTGTTCGTCAGGCCGGAGAAAGTAGTTGGAGTGATCGGGGCTTCGGGGAGTTCGGTCTCCATCATGGTAGCCAACATCCTGAGGCTTTTCCAGGTAGGGGGGCGCTCGCTTCGGGGCGCAGCACGCGGCGGCTCCGCGGCGCTCTTAACCGCAAGGGCCGGCTTGGAAGCCCAGGGGTGCAGGGCTCCGGTCTTCCCACCCCTGGAGGTCGTGCCGAGCCCCTCCCGCCCCACCCGGAGAGATGAGATACCTTCCCTCCTTGGTGCATTTTCCTCCTGTCTCTGTCCCCCTGTCCGCGCTCCACTCCCTCCGGCTCGACAGTCCTGGATTTATGGCCCCATTGACAAGAAGCAATCTGTGAAAAACAAGGCGATGATTTAAACGGGTTTGCATTACAGTGAAATATGGTCCGAAAGCGGGCTTGGAAAAGCGCCGGGGCTCCCAGCAGAGCAGGTTAGGTTGGGCGCTTGGCACAGGAACGATGGGAAGGTGCCTGGAAGCCGGGGGCATTTCCCACCTCCCCAGTTTCCCGCCCCCAAGCCACCCGGCAGAGCTCCACTCCCTCGGAAAATTTGGAGACGACCTTAAGGGGGCACTGGGCAAACCCAGGCGAGGTCTTAACCCCGAGGTGGACGTTCACTGCCCGCCTCCCTAAAGCTGGGGTTCCCGACCTGTAGCCAGCCTCCCAGGAGCGGGGGCGGGAGGTGCAATTGGGGAGATGCCGCCCACAGACGTGACCCCCGTGGGATTCCTCCGGGCAATTTTTTTTTTTTTTTTTTGCACCGTCCACATTGCATTTGCAGCAGCTGGGCTATCAGCTTTCTACCCCTGCCACTTCAGCCCTCGGCCAGAGAGGATGAGCTCATGCTAACTGCGAAACAAAATCGCTTTCCCTGCTTCCTCCCTCCGCCCCTCACCCAGCATCCCCAGCTCGGCAGCCCCCAACCCCAATTCTTGGCTCTGAGGACGGTTCCCGGAGCGAGGCAGGAAGGCGCCCGTTGGGAGCCGGTGGGGTGCGCGGGCGCAGGGCCCCCCGCGGCCCTCCTGCTCCGTGCGGGGAGGGCCATGGAGAAAACCCGGAGGAAGGCGGATCCCGGCCGCTGAGCGGTGGGCTCTTCCGCAGTGCCCGCGCCTCTGCCCCTCGCTCCTGCAGCCCCTGCCCTGTGGCTTCTGCTCTGCATTGGGTGGAAATGCGGGAGGTTTTGAGGTTCAGGGACTGAGATTCAGGGTCTCCCGTGACTGTGATTCCCTTCTGGGTGTTTTTCCCTACATGCGCATCTCTGTCTCCTTGCTCTGTTTTTTATTTTCCCCACTATGTTTTTATTCTTTTCTTCTCCCTTTCTATCTCTGGCTCCCTATTTCTCCCTCTCTATCCTCACTCCCAAGTTCTTGGTTCATCTCAGTCTTGAGATGACCCTTTCCTAATTCATGGCTGTCTCCCTGCCTGGTGGTACCCAAACCCGGCGCATCTCTTCCCCAGATTTGCAGGCTGATCCTGGCACCTCACTCTCCCCATTCTAAAGAACTGGTTCTCTCTCAAGTGCTTTCCCCTCAGGGTGCTGGTTTTCAGGAGGGGTCTCCTTGTGAAATTCAGGCTGTCACCACCCAGTCTCCCCCAGGAGTAGGAAGTTTTGTGTTCAAGAAGGAGGGGGTTCCCATTCAAGGCTGCAGCTTGGCATGGCCCCTCTGATCCTGGGAGCATCCCTGCCACCCTCCTGAGTGTGCCCTCCTGGAGGTCCCTAGATGTTTGTAAACCCAAAGTGCTTTGGGGGTAGCTAGCGCTCTTGCTTGCTTGCTTTGGGGAAGAACCTGGGTTGTTGTAATCAACCTCCAGAAGCACTTCCTTTATTTTTGAGGGTAAAGCTAGACAACTTGAGCGGCAGGGCTGCTGGAGAGGGTGAGGCCAGGGAGGTCACCTGAGAACCCCTGGGTATACTATTTACATTTTCCCAGTTAGTCCTGGGGGTTGACGGCAGAAAATGTTTTGTCTTTAGCATTTTGCAATTATTTTGCTTCCTGTTTCTCTCTTCCGCTCAGCATGGGCAGTACTGCAGACGGGCCTGTCTGTCTCTCTGAAAAAGACAGAAATGCTAAAGTTAAGAAAGGCATTGCAGACTAGGCTGACGGACTGTGTTTGCTGAAAAAGATTCCAGGGGGAGCTGATTCCTCTCCTAGTGTGTGAACCTGAGGCAACTTGCTTGGGAAAAAAAGAAAAAAAAAAAAAAAAAGGCTGGCTTTACACTCATTTCTCCATTGCCTGAGCTGGGGAAAAGAACCAAACGCCAGCGTTAGCGGTGTGGGTTGGGACTCAAAACCATTCAGAGAAAACACTGTCATTTTCTTCTAATTTGCAAATTGCAGCTATTCATGTTGGATTGAACAGCTGAGGGAAAAAAAGGAGCCCCTAGTTTCCACCTGCAATTTTTGAGAAGAGGCTGGAAGTAGGAGCAATGTACCAACTTGTAGCTTGTGCAGCTCGCAAGCTTGATAGAACAGTTGGTTGGCAATGGTACCTTGCTTAACCATTGCCTGTGTTGGGATATTTATTTCTGTAGACCAAGAATCTCTTCCAGTGGCCTTTCTTTTTCTTTCTTTTTTTCTTGTCCATGTGATTTTTAGAAGCTCCCGGCATGCTATTCCAGTCGCCAGTTGTCTAGCTTCTGCAAGCCTGCAAAATGAGTAGGGAAAATAATGGCACACATACCCATTGTTCATTGGCACTGCCGCTTAGGCAGGGGGGAAAAGGATTCCCATGCTGAATCTTCTCTGGGATTCTAAGGTTCAGCTCTATTAAGATTGTCCTATATAAAAGAAACTCCTCCAAATGACTGAATTCCTAGCTCTCCAATGATTTGAATTTTCTTTTTCCCTCTGGTCCCTGCCGATGCTGTGGGGGTCATGCCAAGCCGATCACTGGAGATATAAATTTATATTGAGATAATGCTCTAGGCTGTGTGTAGGAGGAGGGAAGGGGCGTATACTTAGGCACTTATTTGGGGGTGCTGAGTGCTGCAGGGCTGTAGGGAGTAATGAGATAGTAACAGATGTATCAAATGCTGCTACTGCCAGCAAAGCCTGGGGTGGATGGAGGAAGTTCTTTCCTGAAAATTAAGACCTGGGCAGGAATGACTTATGGAGATGGAAATAGTGTCTGTGACTTGGAGTTTTCCTGAGTCTGCTGGTGTACCAGATCTAAGACATGAGTTGAGCAAGTCCTGTCTCTCTTTCTTCTGTATACACACTGTGTAGGTTAGGAAATGACATGTCTGAGGACAGGCATCATACCCAGTGGGTCTTTCAAATCCAGGAATTTGAGGCTAATGAAATTAGCGTGTGGCCAGGGCTCTGCCAACTGAAATTAAATCACTCGCAACTGCCCTGCAATTGCATTTTCGGCCTCAAAGAAGCATCAGGGAGGAATTTCTGGAGATTTGTTTCTGAGCTTGTACAAAAAAAAATAATAATACTCTCCTAATGCTAAGAAAGATTAAACGTAAATTAATATTGAACTATGAGTAACATATTTTTAAAAAATCATCACAGAGTGGGGATGGCTTAAAGTGGAGAGGTTATATAATACGGTGACCAAAAGATAAATCTCTCCCCCGACCACTGTTTTATGGGCAATAAGTAAGATATATTATAGTGGAAAGTAATGGGAACATTTTTATTCAAGGCTTCTCTGTTACTGACTTAAGAGCAAACACTCCCGGAGTATAAATTACTCCTGCTACATCCTGACTCTGAACGAATAATATTTCATGTATAGTGACATGGTCTAAGCTATAGACTTGGAATGGAATGGCATCTGTTTCAGGTTTTTGGTTTTTTTTTCCTCTCTCAAAGCAACTAGATGTAAAAAGTGTCAACTCCATTCTTGTTGGACGATAGTGCAAATCTAAGCCAGTGGGCCTTGTACCATACATGAGATACATTTGTAAATGTGTCATTGTTTTCCTTTTGTTTATTGAAACTTGAATGTAATCTCAAACTTTGGGGGCAACATTGTATACATAAATAGATATTTTTCTTCTCTCTCTCTCTCTGTCTCTCACTCTCTCTCTCTCCATCTTATGTAATCAGCTAGAGCTAAGCACATAGAGTGATGTGGTATTACTATACTGGGGAAATTTAAAAAAAAAGCAACTCTAACCTACACTTTTTAAAATGTCATCAATATTGGTGCCACTGCCATTTGCAACAGTCTCTATAACAATCTCAGCCTCCACATTCACTGTGTTTTAGGAAATGTGCCTAACAGGTGGTGAGTGGGAAATTTTTAAAGGGGCAATGTTTAAAAGAGCAGAGAGGGAAGGGGATGAATACATGCACATATTATATTTGCATGTGAATTTTGTCTTTGCATACCCATACAATTAGGATGTCTTTGGGCGTTTTTCTCTTCAAGAATAATTGAAACAATGAATGCAAGTCATTCAGCTTCATAAACATTTGAGTTTAACAAATTACAGTTGCTCTATTTCTTGCATACATACAGGCTGTGTCATAGATTTCAAAGATCAGAGTGGGATGACACAGTATGTTCTTGTCTCAACCCTGCCATTAATGAGCTAAGTTATGCTAAATAAATCCCTTCATATATGGGGCCTCATTTTCCTAATCTGATTTTGTTTTTTCTTAAACATTGTAGTTTCTGGAAGTATCACATTTTTGTTTAGCTTGAAGAAAACCTGCTCTTGTCCAAACTCTATTTGTATTTCTAGTATCCACTTTGAACTTTCATTGAGTTTTGGGGGAACTTTTAAAGGTTATTTTCACATAGCTATCTTGGTCATGACTAGTTTAATTTCCCATATTCAGACTTTTTCCTTATCCTTTTCGCAGTTTGCTCCTCAATCACATATATGGCTAGTAGGGAAAATGACCTCCTGGGTCAGTGTAATGCATGGTCATAGACACAGGGCAGGGAGTAAGAACTGCGAAGTTTACAGTAGCAGTTACAGTTGCATCTCTCCAAAGTCCCATTGCTTTTCATCGTGTAAAAATACCAGACTTCTCTCTCTCTGAAAACTGCCAAACAGTGACATCCTGTGTTTGCTTATCTTGCTGGCCCCAGGGATGAGGCTTCTGAC